GGAGGCGCCGCATGCCTGGGTCCCGAGCCGGTCTGGGGGACTCAAAACCGGGGTCCTGGGAGGAGAGTGGGGCCCAAGGGCTGGAGCAGGCGGACCCCTGGGTTCCCGCCGTGCGGGGGGGGGGTTCACAGCCCACCCACGGAGCAGCCGCCGGCCAGTCCGTGCGCAGCCGCAGCCCGGGACAGGGTGGAGCCAGCCTCCTTTTGGCCCCGCCCCCATGATGCACAATAGCGCACGGCCTGCTGGGAAATATAGTTCCCGACGTCCCCATCTGGGCAAGCTCAGGTGCTTCGGCTTCCTGGGGCCCCCCCCCGGGCAGGTCTGCACAGCTTCCAAAGGAGGAGACGCAGGCCCGGTGCACCATCCCCTTTATTGCAGTTTGCAGAGCATCCCAAACTGCTCTCCACGGTGCCCACGGGCTCTGCCCCGGCCCTGCACATGGTGCAGGAGACGAGAAGCCCCGGAGCAGGGCCCTGAGAGTCCAGCGCAGGGGGGCTGTAGCAGCAGGGAGTCGAGTCCAGCAGACAGCGCGTCCCAGCAGGGCAGCACGAGGGGCATCAGCGGTCTGGAGTGTGTGCCGAGGGGGGTGGGGGCGCTGGCCTGGGGGCAGAGGAAACAGACGGTAGCAAAGCAGCAGTGACCCCCGCCCCAGGCAGGACCCTTCCAGGGGGGACTCATTACTTACCTGGATGGCAACACCATGACGCAGGGGCCATAGGAAGGCACAGCAGGCACCTCGCCCAGGACCCCCACCGGGTCAGAGGGCAGTGGCCGCCGGGGTGGGGGGGGCTTGGCAGGACCAGGAGACTTTGGAGAGAAGCCGGTGTGAGCCATGGAGGGTGGGAGCGCCCAGGGCCAGTCTAGGGCACAGAGCTCCGTGCCCATCACATCCATCACCTGCTCCCTCTCTGCCCCGTGTGCCCATGTGGGCACCCTGCCTGCCTGTGCCCATGCTGCGGCCTTGTGCTGCCCTGGTGGGACTCTCCACACGCGTGTACAACTGTCACCGTCACCAGCCCCGCGGTGGTGCCACGGTTACCTGAGTGCCTCTCACCACAGGGTCTGCAGGAAGCGGGCGCGTGGGGGGGGGTGGCCTGTCCGAGCCCCTGGCCTGGCAGAGAGAGCAGGCTCAATGAGACGGCACCACGGTACCCGGGCCACAGCCGCGGGGTCTGCAGGGAGGGGCCGGACTTGCCCCCCGGCACAGGGCCTTGCAGGGGGGTGGCTGATGCCGGGGGTGCTGTGGGGCTGGGAGCTCTGGGTGCTGGCAGACTGAGGGGCAGTGATGCCCGGGGCCACATCAGGGGAGGCTTCCAGCACCGTGCTCTTGTGGACAGTACCAGGTCCTGCAGCGGGCGTCAGGTCCAGGACAAGGGAGTGTTTGGAGCCAGGGGAAGAGTAGCAGGAGGGCCAGCTGTGCCCTGCAGGTCTGTCCGTGTCCAAACCCAGCGTGCCCAGAGCAGCCGGTACCCTAGGGAGCCGTGGTAGGAGCTGGGGGATGAGCCCCCCAAACCCCCGCCCCTCGGCCAGGTGAGAGCATGCACGTGAGGGTCATGCAGAAGCCTTGTGGGACAAATGAGAGCAGCCGGTGTGTCCCCGCCCTGCTGGGCCCAGGGCCGTTACCTGGGATGCCTTAGGCACCGGGTCAGGCGGGAGCGGCTTGGAGGGTGGATCGGGCCGGGCGGCGCCAAGGGGAGCAGGCTGCAGAGAGAAGGTGGAGACGCGCGGCAGACGGGCGCATGCAGCAGCAGTTAAGAGACGTGCAGTCAGTGTGAGCCATGCAGCATGTGAGAGGCAGCACGACAGACACCCCCCCCCCAGCCCCCCATGGCACAGCCCAGAGCAGAGCACTGACCCCCAACCCACACCCGAGGATCCAGCTCCAGTTCAGGTCTGTCCCACAGGGCACCCACAGTGAGGCCTGCAGCAGGCGGGAGAAGGGACCCCCAGGGCCATTGCTGGGGGAGCTCCTTGAGAGTACAGCGGGGAGGCCAGAAGTGACAGTGGGGCCAGTGTCTGGGCAGGCCCTCCTGGTACCATGGGGACAGCAGTGGGCACCAGGCCAGGTGCAGACAGTGCCCAGGGGACTCTGGGGCCTGTCACCCCTGCTGCAGGGCAGCCCCCATGGGGAGGGCGACAGCATGTGTCCCGGCAGCGAAGAACAAGCGCCGGAGACCCACACAAGGCAGCAGGCATTGACTGGGCAGTGACACGCTGGGGCACAGGCAGTGCTGCCTGCTAGGAAGCCCCCACCCCAGTGCTGGGCTCCCCCTGCCACCATGCAGCTGCGGGGCTGGGCTGGCGGAGAGGGATGAGCCTTCCCTGGCCTGGGGGCTGCTTAGTCACATGAAGAATGAGGCCACACAGGCTTGGGCCCTTAGGGAGCCGCAGGCAGAGCTGGGTGCAGGCTGCTGGGCCCCTCTAAAAACTCCATCCAGCTCACAGCAGCAGCAATGCCATCGCCCCCTCATCACGCACACCCGAGGCACCCTCATCACCTGTGGCGCAGGCTCTTCACCCCTTTCATCTACAGCCTTGCACCCAGCCCTTGTGACCCCAGCACAGGCAACCCCCCCCAGCCACGCTCACATGCAGCATCCTGCCCTTGGCACCCGTCACTTGTAGCATCTACCTCCAGACCCTGTCACGGCGCCCCAGCCCATCAGCCGTGCGTGCTGCCTCCCCCCTCACCGCCTTACCTGCAGCCCCAGCAGTGCTGTTCCCCCTGGCTGGGGATCACTGCAGGGCCCACACTTACCGTGCTGCTGTGCATGACCTGCAGCTCCGTGCTCTGGTGCCACTGTGGGGGCCGGGGGCGCTCAGGGGGGGTCTGGCTGGGGCACTGCGTCTCTGGCTGGGAGATCCTGCAGGGAGACATGGGTTCACGTATGGGGCAGAGGGAGCCTGGCACCGTTTTCCCTGAGCTGGGGGGCTGCTGGGGACAGGCTCTCCACAAGCTGGGGGGTCGGAGGCACCGCATGCCTGGGTCCCGAGCCGGTCTGGGGGGCTCAGAACTGGGGTCCTGGGAGGAGAGTGGGGCCCAAGGGCTGGAGCAGGCAGACCCCGGGTTCCCGCCGTGGGGCGGGGGGTTCACAGCCCACCCACGGAGCAGCCGCGGGCTCTCCACAAGCCAAGACTCCTGGGTCCTATTTCTGCCCCTGCTCTAAGGTATGGGGCCTGATGAGAACCTTCATTGGCCCCTGCATTCTGGAAGCTGATCCCAGGGCACAGAAGTGACAGGAGCAGTCCATTCCTGTACCTGGTGCAGGGCCAAAGGCACCGGGCCAGCCTGAGTGGGCATATCCAGGGAGAGTGGGACAGGGGACCGGCACGGCGTGGCACAGCACAGCACAGCACCCCAGGACCCAGCCACCAGCGTGATTAAGCCTCAAGCCATGGGACACAGCAGCATCCTGCTTCTCAGAGACCTCCATGGGCCCCCAGGAAGAGACTCCAAGATGAACCCCCTGCCCAGTTCTAATTCTGGGACTGTGCAGGGGACCTGATGCACCGACCCCAAGGGCAAGGCACCGTGTGGGGAAGAGCACAGCAATGTGGAGGCGGCCACCGGGCCACTCTGAGAAGCAGGGTGGGGGGTTGAGGGCAGCCCCGCACCCAGGCTGGGGGGAGGAAGCTGCTGAAGGGGGCAGCTGTAGCCCCCCCCCCCCAGGCCCGGGTGTTACCGGCTCTGACCCGCGGG